GTCAAAAGGTCACAGGGGTCATTTTGTAGAAAAAGAGGTGCAGGAGCTCATTAGCATAACTCATTAGCATATGCCACACCCCCTGACATCACCGGAAGCATGTCAGAAGGCAACACCCACCGCTCAGGCTCCACTGGACTGTTTTGGATTGCTAGCTATTGGGGGGGGGATGTGCAGATCTGTCCTCGCAGAGGAGGGAGAGCTTGTACCTGAATAAACCTTGGCCTTAAAGGTGCCACTGGACTGTTCTGGATTGCTAGCTGGGGGAAGGAATGCACAGATCTGTGCAGAAAGGAAGGAAGGAAGGAGAGAAAGAAAGAAAGAGGGAAAGAAAGAGGGAGAGAAGGAAATAAGGAGGGAAAGGGAAAGAAGGAGAGGAGGAAAGAAGGAGGGCTGTTTCTTGCTCCTCGTGGCCTGGGGCTGCTGGGATCAGGGGATGGGGCTTGTTGCATGTGCCCACCCCCTGGGCTCTTTACTGCCAGAGCTCCGCTCCTGTGCGCTCCCGCAGGAAATGACCCCTGCAAAAAGACTTGTTTTCCAGAACCCCACGAGGCATGGTCCAGGCTTCTTAAGATTCACACCGCTCAGGAGAAAAACCCGAGGGTATCTTGCCAAACTTACCCTCATGCCTTCAAATCTGGATAAGGCCCGAAGAGGTCTCAGGGCACGAAGCGTCCTAAGGGATTTGATGGGTCCCAGCTCAGAATAGCCCAGCCAATTTGCAGTCAAGCTGATCAGAGATACCTGGTGAAGAAGGCGGAGTACTTAGTGGCAAGTCAGACCAAGAAAGGCTGGAGAACAGCTGGTGCTCATCACGCTTTCCCAAGGAGGTGGCTAGCTCATCCCGACCCAACCCCTTGCTTCCCAGGTTCCGGTCCACATCATTAACCGTTGGGGATCAGTGTTTGGGATAATATATCCCTCACCAAATGAAATTAATGAGCAGCTTCTAGTGTAAAGCCATGAGCGAACTCCCCTGCAAAAGAAAACACAACTTACGTCAACAATGAGGAAGTCCAACCAGCACCAGGCATTGGTGAAGTAGACCTTGAACCCGTAGGCCACCCATTTCAGTAGCATCTCAATCACAAAGACATAGGAGAAGACCTTGTCGGCGTATTCCAAGATGGTACGGATCGTATGCCGCCGCTCAATATAGATGTCTTCAAAAGCCTGAAAGCGGAAGAGGGATGGAAGGAGGAACATCTCACCAGCGGCTGAGGATTGGTCTTCCCCTTCATGTTTGAGGCCCCCTCTACAGCTTGGGTGTGGCCGAAAGCATGAGCCCCTGGGCACGTGGCAAGGAGCAAAGGGCTCTGGACTCTTTCGCTCGCAGCCTGTCATCAGACAAGCCAACGAGGCCGTCAGCTACATTTTGGGCAATCCCATTTGTTTGATGGTCTGCTGGTTTATTTAGAGGGCACTGTAAGCAGCTTTTGCCCTGCCCCGCATGGCCAAGGCTAGCCTGATCACATCAGGTCTTCGAAACTAAGCAGGGCTGGCCCTGGCAAGTATTTGGATGGGAGACCTCCAAGGAATACCAGGGCCCTGATGTAGAGGCAGGCGACGGCAAGCCACCTCTGACTGTCTCTTGCCTTGAAAACCCTACAGGGTCATAGGGTTGCCAGACTCCAGGTGGGGCCTGGGGATCTCCCGCTTTTACAACTGATCTCCAGCCGACAGAGATCAGCTCCCCTGGAGAACATGGCTGCTTTGAAGGGTGGGCTCTGCGTCATTATACCCTCCTGAGGCCCCTCCCCTCCCCAAACCCCGCCCTCTCCTGGCTCCACCCTTCTCTGATATGAGGGGACATGTGGGGAGGAAACTGAAAGGAAAAGTAGAAAGGGTCAAAACCATTGGGGAAGCTTGGAAACTATTTAAAACTACGATCCTAGAAGCTCAAAAACAAAAAATATTCCACAGGTTAGGAAAGGCACAAATAGGTATAGGAAAAAGCCTGCATGGTTAACAAACAGAGTAAGGGAAGCTGTAAAAGGTAAAAAGGATTCCTTTACGCAGTCGAAAGCTAGTCACAGTGAGGCTGATAAAACGGAACACAGGCTATTACGCAGTCGAAAGCTAGTCACAGTGAGGCTGATAAAACGGAACGAGCGGGGAGGGGGTTTAAACCAGAAGTGGCTTGACACCGGAGAAGCGATCACACAGGGGGAAAATGTGGCTTCAAACGGGAGAGCTGAGAAAACACCAATTTGGGACCTGGTAACAAAATACTCTGGGTTCAAGCAGTTTTGATCCGGAAACCATCGGCTGTGGACGGGAGGCAGATGTTGACTGTGTGACCGTGCAGATAAAATCCGTTGCTGAAGCGTGACGATACCAGATCAAACGGCGCGTCTGAACGCACCCTATTAGTCTCTGCTCTTTCCTATCCGAAGTGTACTTCTCAAATAAAGAGAGGAGTATTGAGCTGCGGTGGCTCAAGTGGTTAAGACGCTGAACTGCAGGCTCTGGAAGGTTGGTAGTTCAGCAGTTCGAGACCCGAGTGTGCCGCATGACGGAGTGAGCTCCCGTCTCTAGTTCCAGCTCCTGCCAACCTAGCAGTTCGAAAGCAAGAAATTGCAAGTAGATAAATAGGTACCACTTCAGTGGGAAGGGAACAGCGTTCCGTGCGCCTTGGTGTTTAGTCATGCCGGCCACATGACCACGGAAACGTCTTCGGACAGCGCTGGCTCTTCGGCTTGGAAACGGAGATGAGCACCGCAACCCTAGAGTTGGATTCGACTGGCTTTCGAGCAAGGGAACCTTTACCTTTTATTTCTCTTCTAAATTTGCAATGTGGCTCTGTGTAGCTCTGTAAGCTGAGTAACCTGGTAAAGTGACGCTCCTGCGTTTGTAGCTTTATTCGAGCGTTCTGCTAACTAATGGTGACTGGACTAACCAGACCAGTTAACCTCAATATCTGCTGCCCAGACGCCTCCGGGGGCCCTACAGGGCTGCTGCTCTTTCATCTCTTGCTTCCTTTTCCCTCCCAGCCCCCTTCCCCACAGACAACGTTTAAATTGGAAGCACCTCGGGGGCAGGAACCTGTTTGTTGCCTATGAAACATGCCAAGTACACAGAGCTGTAATAAATAAGACGTTCAACACTCTGCTCTGATTCTGTGGCACACTAAAGGTGAGAAAACAAGTCTCTCGAGGTCTGCAAGGCCCAAGTTACCAACGGCCTCTCCAGCACGAAGCCTGCTGGGACCAAAGGGAGATCTTTCCCTCCTTTCTGTTTCCCGGCTGCTAGTCTGGGAGACACTCGTGACGGTCTGCTGTCAGTCCCAAGCAGGGTTGTCAACTCCAGGCTGGGAAATTCCTGGAGAATTGGGGGGTTGGAGCCTGGGGAGCTCAGCTGAGTATAATGCCATACAGCCCAACCTCTGATGCAGCCATTTTCTTCAGGGGAACTGAACTCTGTGGTGTGAATCAGGGGTCATTTCCTGCAGGAGCGCACAGAAGCGGAGCTCCGGCAGTAAAGAGCCCAGGGGGCGGGCACATGCAACAAGCCCCACCCCCTGCTCCCAGCAGCCCTCAGTCAGAGCAAGAAGCAGCCAGGAAAGCTGCAGAGCCCCCCCCAGCTCCCCGGTCCCAAACAGTCCAGTGGCACCTTTAAGACCAAGTTTTATTCAGGTACAAGCTCTCCCTCCTCTGCGAGGACAGATCTGCATGTTCCCCACCCCCGCAATAGCTAGCAATCCAAAACAGGCCAGTGGAGCCTGAGCGGTGGGTGTTGCCTTCTGACACACTTCCGGTGATGTCAGGGGGTGTGGCATATGCAAATAAGTTGTGCTAATGAGTTATGCTAATGAGCCCCTGCACCTCCTTTTCTACGAAATGACCCTTGGTGAAGATCAGTTGTCACTCCGGGAGATTTCTAGGGCTCATCTGGAGGTTGGCAACCCTATTCTCACAGTAGGAAAGAGCCGGAGTCCAGGAGCACCTTCAAGACCGACAGAGTTTGTGGCAGGGGAGGAGCTTCCATGAGTCTCTGCTCACTTCTTCAGATACAGCCAGAATGCGAGTTCCTCTGACCTCAATGGACTCCCATTCTAGCTGTATCTGGAGATTTCTAGGGCTCATCTGGAGGTTGGCAACCCTATTCCCACAGCAGGAAAGAGCCGGAGTTCAGGAGCACCTTCAAGACCGACAGAATTTGTGGCAGGGGAGGAGCTTCCGTGAGTCTCTGCTCACTTCGTCAGATGCAGCCAGAATGCGATTTCCTCTGACCTCGATGGACTCCCATTCTGGCTGTATCTGAAGAAGTGAGCAGAGACTCACGGAAGCTCCTCCCCTGCCACAAATTCTGTCGGTCTTGAAGGTGCTCCTGGACCTTTCCTGCTGTGGGAATAGGGTTGCCAACCTCCAGATTGGATATAAATTCTGTCAGTCTTGAAGGTGCTCCTGGACTCCGCCTCTTTTCTACTGCTACAGACAGACTGACACGGCCGCCCATCTTGCTCTATTCCCCCAGTGGCTGAGCAACTTGGAACCCTGGTCTTCCTCCCTGAAAGAAAGGCTACCAAGGAGTAACACCTACCAGGGCCCCGCTACTCAGGAGGATCATAAAGATGATGAAGGTTTCAAACCAGTTGTGCTCCACTATCGTGAAGCATGTCCTCCGGAGATTCCACCACTTCTTCCCCTTTTCCGTCTTGACGTCAACGTAGAGACAAGGGCACCTCCGAACGCAGGCTGCAGCGGGGGTAGAGACAAGGGCAACGGTGGCCACACAGCCGCACTGGGTCCTGCCTGGAATTCCTGCCACCTTTGTCTGGAAGCCCCATCCCTCCCCCCCCCAGTCCCAGAGGGGGGTGCCGGTGGCACATGCACAGGCACACCACTGCTTCATGTGCTGTGAATTGTGACCCAAAAGACCTGAGGCCTGGAGAGCTAGCGGCCCACTCAAGGCCTCCCTGCCCGTCGCCTGCCCAGGACTGGCTGGCCAGTCAGCCTACCCTCAGTAAAGCATTCTTCCGGCTCATCGCTCCCCTCGCCCTCCTCGGCTGCGGCTTCCTCCTCCAAGGGGTCAGGGGGCTTGTAATCAACCGTGCTGCAGACAGATGACTCAGTCCCATCCGACAGCGGCTTCTGAAGGTGGCAAAGGAAGAGGGAAAGAAGGTCAGTTCAGAAGCAGGCAGGTAAGTGTTGGAAGAACTGCGGCATCAGAGGCACGTATCTGCACTGCTGGGTATCCTGCCCTAAAATACTACCTTTTTGGGAAGCTGTACTGTATCAAATCAAAACGATCCATAACATAGATATAACACCGACCCCAGGAAACTTATTTTTGAAAAGTTGGGTAGTTCATAACTCTGCTCCATCAGTGGTGGAGGGGGTCTCCATACTGCTTTTTGCAGCCAAGACGGTCATTGCCTCCCACTGGAAAACGACAATGACACCCACAATTTCACATTGGCACAAAAAATTGTGGGATTTATATATCATGGCAAAACTCTCGGATAACCTTGTGCAATTTGATAAGATCCCTGCTCCTTCCTCTTTTATAGCAGTCTGCTTCCCTCTCTTAGAATACCAAAATCAATTCGAAGACACTCCCAAAGAAATAGATGCTTTACATTTATGGTAAAAAGAGACTTACTATCCTAAGTATAGATAATCGATTAAGATTACTGTTCAAATATCTTCATAACATTGTAAGGTTATAAGTTTTACTTGGATCTCTAAGCTATGTTTTTCCTTTGTATGTGTTTATATGTGACAAATAACTTAATTAACATAATGAGCTATTCTCTAAACAATATTTGTTTAATGTTTAAATTATGTTTGTACACCTATACATGACAGTTACACATATTGTTCAAATTCTCACCAATTGTTCATTTATTGATATACCTAATAAAATATATTGTATATATAAAAAAGAAGAAGCAGGCAGACATGCAGCCAACCCACCCTCCGAGTTCATTGTGAGCAGTAAGATTTGCCGGCAGTGACTCAGGGCTGGAAAGTTGGAATCAGGACCTTGAATTTGTCAAGCTGTTGCCTGATTGATGTGCCCCCCCAAAAAAAACCTAAGCATTCCAGAACCTCATTGTATGCGTAACTGCCAGGCTGTATGCTGCGGCACAGTCCTGTGCCATAAGGTGAACACAAAGCAGATAAGGGCCGTCTTTATTAAGTAGTAATCACTGCAGCTTATGGAGACTCATGCAGCGATTCAACAGGCCGAGATGCAGCAGAATTAACTACTTTGGCGTGGAGTCTGATTGGATGGAGGAAAAGAAATAAGGAAGGAGGTAAAAAAATCATGTAGACGTACAGCAAACAGCTTATTTTGTGACTGGAGACTTTGGGTCCACAAGAAGAAGAAGAAGAGGAAGAAGAAGAGGAAGAGGAAGAAGAGGAGGAGGAGGAGGAGGAGGAGGAGGAGATTGGATTTATACCCTGCCCTTCACTACCCAAAGGTGTCTCAGAGCGGCTTACAAACTCCTTTCCCTTCCCCTCCCCACAACAGACACCCTGTGAGGTAGGTGGGGCTGAGAGAGCTCTTGACAGAAACGGCTCTTTTTCAAGAACAGCTCTTATCAGAACCACGGCTTGCCCAAGGCCGTCCAGGCAGGTGCAAGTGGAGGAGTGGGGGAATCAAACCCGGTTCTCCCAGATTAGAGTCTGCGCACTTAACCACTACACCAAACTGGTAACGAATTTCTCAGGGCAAATGGATAAATGCATTCTTCTTTGGAGGTTGGAACTGAGCAAAACCTTCAACTTGAGTTTTAAAAAGTCTCTCTCCCTCTCCCTCCCTCTCAGAGTATAGGCAGATGGAGGGGCAGTCAATCACTCACCAGCCTCATCCAACACAGCTTTACGAATGCAAATGTAAGGCCTGGCTAGACACAATGAGATGGTCAAGTCTCTCTCTCTCACCCC